TGCTGAAACCAACAACTATAAGATTTTGACCTTAAAACAGGACACTACTTGCAAAAGAGATAATGCAAGAGCCATGATAACCTTTTCTGGGATGTTACCTAGGCTCAGACGAGCAAGGATGGAAATGGATTTGCTATGGATCTGTCTGTGAGGGGTTTGTTGTTGTTTAAAGATAATAATATTAGGAATGCAAATTATCCTCCAAAAGCTGGTGATATTTAAATATGATTTAAATTCACTTAGCATTTAAAGAGAAAAGTAGAAAATGGCATTAAATTCAGATGAGGATGAGGCTATACATTCTGGAGTGAGAAATATTAAATCCATTGACGGAATGGAATAGAAGGTCTGGCTGGTAATGGATTGTGAAAGGAGTTCAGGGTTTTAATAGATCATTCCTTCAGATCATCAGCACTGTAAAGTGGTAGTTAATAAATTATTTGACGTGTACATTTACTCATATATTTTAACTAGCTGTAATGAACAGGTCCTGTCAGCTCACCTAGATCCTTGCAATAGCTGCTAAATCGCTTGAGTGAGATTTACTAACTCTCTGCAATATTGATGTTCAGAGCTGCAGGTAATAAATAAAGTGACATCAGGACTAGCTTGAGCTTCTGCTCAAGTGTTGTCTAAGGCCTCTGTCAGGCTTCCAGCAGGGAGGAAGCTCTTCCCTGTGATTAATTTTTGGTTGATGTGACCACCCCATGCTCTGATACCTGTAATGGGACTCTAAGAACATTCTCACCCAGTTTGGAGTTGACTAGAGAAATTTGTCCCCTGCTCAGTTCCATATATAGAGGCTGTTACCTATTCCTCTCCACAGGTATGTGGTATTTCTTGGGATGCACACAAAGGTAGAGCAGGAGGATTGGAGAATCTGACTGAGCTTTGGGGAGAGGAGAAGAATCCTCTCTCATTGCCATTATACTAGGACTACCCTAGTGCTAGAGAGGGAATTAAGGACTGAAAAAAGCTGTTCTTTTATCTTAGATTATACTAGAAATGTTTATAGCAGAAAAAAACCCTGCCTCTTAAAACGGTGCTGAATTATACAGGCTATTAAGGGCACACCAGGCACCTTTCCTTTCATTCTTAGTTGTCCTCTGAACTTGGAGCTAGTTTAAACCTAGATCCTTTCTCTTCCTCCCACTCACTTTCCCAGCATGTGGTGTACTTTATAATTTGTGAAGAGACTCATTAATTTTTTTTTCTTTCTCCTTTTTTTTCAGGTTTCTGACAGATGTGACTATGTCTTTGTCAATGGGAAGGAAATGAAAGGCAAAGTGAACGTCGTAGTTAATTTTACTTACCAGCATCTGAGTGCCCCTTTAGAAATGACAGTCTGGGTTCCTCGTCTCCCGCTGCAGATAGAGGTCTCTGACACAGAACTAAATCAGATCAAGGGGTGGAGAGTCCCCATCATCTCTAATAAGAGGTAGGTTTCATTAGAGGATGTTCATTCTGGGCTGTGCACTTGCCAAAGACCTGTCAGGGCCAGTGGATATGAACATGCTCATTTGGCCTTAATGCAATTCCACTGTAAATTTGAAGGTCACCAGACATTTATTCAATAGGCTCCTGCACTGGACTTGTAAGTGAAATGGAAACAGAGGTTGCATGATCCTGCCTTGGAAATCAATTTCCTTTTACAGCACTAATGACTGAGATGGGAAGAGCCAATCGGTCAAGTTAGGCAGGATCAGCCATGAGGCAGCAAGAAGACATCAGCAAGAACCAGCTCTAGAGTGGCTGGTTGGTCTCCAGCCTGTTCACAGGTCCTGGCAGTTAATATATTCATTAGTAATGGTCACAGTTAGTACACATCTGTTGCATCTCACTGTAGGATTGATCAGTGTCCCAAAGTCAGGACACTGTTTCACCAGGGCTTTAAGATATTGTCTGTGCCCACAGGTCAGTGGAATGTGAATGACAGATCAGAGGATGGATGTAGGCAGGTCAGAACTGTTTGCATTTGTTGTCAGTGTTAATAAGATCAAGAAGAACAAAGTGATCAACTTGGTATTCCCACATACCTATGAAGACATTTACTACAGGTTGCTGGTAGTGTCACAGCAAAGAGATTTTGGTGGAGATGAGATTTCAACCTGAACCCCATCCAGAAAGGGATGTGCATGTAGGTTCAGAGGAGGTTTCTAATGCAACACAAAGATGTTTATGGGAAGATCCAGAAAGAAGAAAGTATGAAGGTCCTGAAAGTAAGGACTTGGCATGGAAAATAATGAAAGATAATTGAAGAGGACAAGGTGGTAGCAAAGCTAGCAGGCCAGCTGGTGATTTCAGCTGCTGTTTTGGAGGTCTAGGCAGCCTGGAGGTCTCAGTTATGAACAAGAGAAACAGGATAAAAGTGGGAGAACCTGACTGACTTCAGAAATGCACTGAAGGAAGCAGATTGGTCCAGTAACCAGACGGCAAACCTATGTCAGCAATAAGTCTCTTGTTGTAAACTCTCCCAACATCAGTTTAAGTAATTTTTTTATCCTTGGTGTCCAACCAGACCAGCCAGGGACAGTGATGATGAGGAAGAGGATGAACGTAAGGGGAGAGGCTGTGCCCTTCAGTACCAGCACGCGATGGTGCGAGTCCTCACGCAGTTTGTCGCTGAAGCCTCAGACCCTGGCAGCCAACTCAGCTATTTGCTGGGGTCTGACTGGCAGATTGACATCACTGACCTGGTCAGAGACTTCATGCAGGTGGAGGAGCCAAGAATTGCCAAGCTGCAGGACGGCCAGATTTTGATTGGGCAGGAGCTTGGAATGACGACAATTCAGGTAGGGAAAATTCATTGCTTGTTTCTTTTCCTCCATTAACCCAACACCTTGGGAACTGAGGCATTGAAGAGGTGTACAGCATTGCCAACAGAAACTGGAGCCATGAATTTTTGAAAGGAACAGAATTGCAACAAGAAGACATTGTGCCTTCGTGTCGGAAAGACACAAAGATGGTTTTCTACTATCTTTTGCCCCAAAGTAAAGTAGATTGCAGTTTTATTTAATTTAGTCCAGCCTGTGGATTTGGAGGCTTTTTCTGATTGTTTTTGTCTCAGGCTGGTTTTGAACCTGGAGACAGTGCATAGGTTATCACAAGGCATGCAGCTTGTAGAGCAACTCAGTCTTCTCAAAGCCTACACTGACAGAGCAAAGGGTAAAGTAAAAATTAGCTAGTGCTGCTTAAGGAACTGAGACTGGAATATTAATCCAAATATTAATTAAAAGAAAAGGAAGAAAAGAGGGAGGGAGGGAGAGAGAGAAATTCAGTGATGCTACAAAGTAGAAAACACATTAACAAGCACTGGAACGGGAAAAAAAATCTAGTTCTCCAAATATGCTCATCATTCTAAACTGTCAAAGCAGAAAACAGCCTCCACACCTGTCGATAAGGAGGTTGTCAGGGCTGGAGAAATGGGATTTTGCTTTCTGCAAAATCTGTAAAGATTTTCTGAATGACTGTCCAAAGCTCTGGGACTTACAATGCTCCAATGAATGCACCTAAAACTGGAAAGAAAAATCCAAGGGAAAAAAGCTGAGAGCAAGTTATATTTAAAGAATACCTCTTATAAGCTGCTTCAAAAATAGTCTGTACCCTATATGGATCTTTCAATTCAACTTGCTTGCTAATTAGCATCTTTGGATGTCATGTATCAGTGCACTGACCTCTGTGTATATTTTCTTAACCAAAACAAGTTCTCTCTGTCAATTTTGTATACAGTACCATGAGGGGTTATTGCAGCAATACATTAGCCTTTTTTTTTCACAGGATAGAAATAAATGCCATTTATCCAATGGATTTTATATAACTCTACAGATTGCATTATATATATGCCACCTAAAAGCATGATCATTAATAAAATACTTCCATTTCATATAAAAATGGCATTTACAAACAGTTAATCCATCTGAAACAGGTGTGGTTAGGATATCACAGAGGTGAATGGTGTAGCTGATTACATTGGTAAAAAGTGTTATAAGCCCCCTATTATTGCAGAAGAGTTATAAAATGTGACTAGCCATTTTTAATCATATTTTAATAGTGTCTGTCTGTGACAACTAATTCCTCCCATTACCATACATATCCCTTATCTGTACCACAGCAGCTCTGTGTAGCTACTTCACTTGGTGTTTTGCAAAATGGTTGTGACTCACTTCAATTTTTCTTTCCAGATCCTGTCCCCCCTTTCAGACGCTATCTTGGCTGAGAAGACAGTGACAGTTCTGGATGAGAAGGTGACAATAACTGACCTGGGAGTGCAGCTGGTGACTGGACTGTCACTCTCTCTGCAGCTCAGCCCAGGAAGCAACAAGGCCATTTTTGCTACAGCAGTAGCACAAGAGTTGCTCCAGTCCCCAAAGCAGGTACCATTGCCCATGGGTGATGTGTTGTGGAGGGACACTGCTCTGAGTCACTGCATCTGACATTCCAAGCTGATGCAGTCTAACAGATTTTTATATGCTAATAAAACATTTTGCTTAGGGAGTTGATTTTTATATGCTAATAAAACATTTTGTTGAGGGAGGTTTTTTTCTGAAGGCCACTAGGTGCCCTAACAGAAAAGCAAAGATCTCACAAAAATGGCACTATGTCTAAACAATCCCAGTCACCAAACAGGTGTGCCCCATCTGTCCTGGCTCCATGATGTGTCATAATTAAGCAACAGCAGACCCCTTACACAAATACACATGCCCTTTCTGCCCATCTTGACATATTGGTAGGTTCACCCTCCCACCACAGGTATCCAAATCAGCCCTTTAATTCCACCACATGGTGGAGTGTTTTGAATTATGCCAAACGTTTCTTCCTTCAGTTACTTTCCATGAGTACTTTAAGAAGTCAGGGAACATCCCTTTCATTCTGATTCATTACTAGAATATGAATCAGCATCACTGACTCATTTCCTGATTCATGATTTCATAAAACATTTTTTCCCCTTATTATTCTTAGTTCTTATATTAGGGAACCAACAGTTACCAAGGGCTTTTAGACTTTGCCATGTCCCTGTCAGTCCCTGCTTGATATTTGTCCTTGTGCTTCTGTATACATTTGAAATTTAAACTTTTTTCCAACCCAAATCCATCAGTCTGGGACTTACATCAAGGATGCACTGGGCTCTTAAACATGTCCTGAGCCTTAAAGGTAAATGATCATGACATGCACGTTTGAAGTCTGGCCAACTGTTGAGATGCTTTAATTCATCATGGGGTCTTATCCTTGGGATGCAGGATGAGAAATAATGCAGACCTGCTGTCTTTATAGGGTGATAAAAATCAGGCTCCCATAGTCTTCTAGGAGTTAAGAAATCGATGCCAGGCAGCTAGATATAAGGCCAGTGAGCTAATCCATTGCTGACGTGGCAAGTTAAACAAACTACCTTGAAACCAGCCCAGAAGTGAAGGTTGATGGCATTTAGTCCCACTATGCTGCCCAGCACTGACATCTCAGCTCCCAGAGATGGAGTCTAGACAAGTCCCTCTCTGGGTGCAGGGGCACAGTCAGAACAGCTTCAAATTGGTATTAAGCCAGTGAGGAAGATGTGCACCCCTCATCCTTCCAGGGCTCACTCTGTTCTGAAAGGCATCTGATTCCCTCCATTGCTCAGGATATGATTCTCAGAGCACAATCCCCATAAGCAAAGCAATGCAAAATTAGTGAATGATTATGCAGGTTTAAGCAACACAGTGGGAAGATGAGAGTTGATGACATAAATTCTATGCGGCCTTCAAGAAACATCCAAAGATTAATAAACACAAAGCAGGGATTTATGACAGTGTCAGCAAAGTCTTAGGGCTCTGTCCTGAAATAGAGGCAGAAGCAAATCTCTCATTGAAACAGGGGGAGCTTTGTGGCTGTAAGGATTTCGGAATCAGGCCAGTAGATTATGCACCATACAATGCCAAAAGTCTGGAGGCTTATTCTCCATGATCTGAACAGGTGAATGACTTTGTGGTAGGAACAA